AAGTCTTTTATTAAGGAGACAAAAGCATTGAGTCAGTGCATTTATTTCTTTACTGTGGCGGAATTGTCGGTTACCTAGAAACCATTTTGCTGGTGACGAAGAACTGAAATATTTTCGATTCATAGAACATTTTGATGAATTTGTTAGCGAAGTGTTACGGGTTGTAGTAGCAATCGTTTCGCATGTACAGCATCCGCCCAAACAACGCCTATGTGATGGCCCACGTTTTTACCTACGCCACGAGATAGTAGGGACTTACATTAGGTTCCGCGGTGTGTCAAGACAAAGAAGTAGGCCTTGCACGAAAAGGTCCTCGAGGCTCAAATCCGTGCTCGGAGATACGGGGACATTTTCGAACACGAAGACAATTCATAAGGATTATACTGTTAAGGGCTTTGTACCTCGTGCACTCATGGTATGGCAAAGGACCCACATAGAAACACACGTGCCCGTACACAGCCACACGAGAGGCCACATTTTGCGCAGTCGAGGAGCCGACAACAGCGCGTCGCCGGTGAATATGGCATCGATCAATTTGGATTAGTAATTTTTTGGCCTTAGCGTTCCTGTGGACTGGTGGATACGTTAGCAGACTTCGTAGCACAGGACTTTGCAGCATTTACGAAAAAAACACAAAACGTTATGCTAAATTGGCTGTTAACTAATCATAACTTCGAAAATCTGTTTACTTCGAGAGTGTAAATCCTTAATGGAGGAATCACCGGTTGAAAGCCGGATGGCATCTGTTAATGTTTGAAAAACTGTTCCTTCAGCCTTCATATGAAAGATGATCACAAAAGGAAGAGACTTAATGCTCTAAGTACTAAAGACTGCACATAATATGCGGAACATCACCGTACTGCAGCACTTAAATAAAGCATGTACAACTATTTAGCAATTTAGTATATAGTTAGTAATTGAGGTATTATTTCTTATAACCAGGACATTTAGAATATGAAATTGAGCACAGTATAAACGGGTATTAATTACTTTAACGTTTTCGTTACAATGTTTGTTACGCGTTATCACCGAAAATAATGAACCCTTATTCATTTATAGAAATAGAGAAAGACATGGTAAATACAATTCGCAAATTTCGTGCTCGTCTGTCTCTCTGCTTAAATTCTTGAAGAAATCTCTCTGAAATGGTTACGTTCCTAAATTGCCCAGAATTTTCGTGTTTGCCCTCAGTAGACTGTTTTTTTTTTTGTCTAAATGTAATTGTGAGCAGTAAAACTTAGTTCATTCTTATAAATTTTACTTCCAATTAAGGCCAATGGATCAGGTAGCAAGTAATGGGGGAGTGATAATACTATAGTGAACTACTGGATTAGATGTACAGCACTGGGTAAGTTCCATAAGACGATACAATAACGCCGTTATTCTGGCCAGGTATGAACCTGTGTGGCTACCTATCAAAATACGACCTTGGAATATTTCATTCATGTGCCAGTTTTGACTGAGAAATATTAATTAGTCTCGACAGAGCTGACGAGCTTGTGTTGCTCGTGGATATAATATCCTGGTTACTTTTTACCTGTCCAGTTAACTTAATCAACTTTAGTACTTAAGTTGGTAAATATTACTGGCCATGATACTTTTGCACTAACTATTTATAATTACGGAGTCATATATCTTATTGATCTTAATCTTTTTGTTTTGGCAATGAACTCAACTATACGAGTAAGTGTGCTGATCCGCTCATGTGATTTTACTGGATATATAATGAAGCATCAGTTTGTTTTGGCATTAGATGACGAGCTAACAATTATATCAGGCTGGCACTTCAACTTCCGGTTTAACGTTCGCGCCGTGCGCCACCGGTGCCGTACTGATGAGATGACCGGATTAGCGGCCTAATACATACTGAGACTGTATCGCGATTACAGTTTATAATTAAGCAGGCTGCTTTAAGTTGACCCGGTTATTTCGGCAAGTCAAGCAGTAGCTCAAATCGATGACAACACGGTTTCTACTGTATAAAAATATGTATAGAAGTATAATACACCTTATATGTCCTACGGGAGTGCAGGCTCCCAGCATATGTTCAGAGCGTTGCTACAAAGAACCCACACTAGCATTTGAGCCTAGGATGAGCCATACTGGAAGTGGGGGGTTGCCTAGCGTAATATATATATATATATATATATAGCGTAATTTTCGGTCGTTGCGAAACTATGGGGAGAAACACATATTATCGCGATTATTAACTTTTTGTCGTCGTTAGGGGTGGTCGCTCGGGACGCTCAACACGCATTTTTTTTCGCCACACCTAACATCACTCGTTAATACTGTTTTGTAGCTATGCGATTCCAGTTCACGTTGTTAACAATGACACTTGTGTATTGTTCTCTACAGAAATAGCAAAAGTGCAATGCTTAAATCTAAAAAGCTGTTCAGCACTTTTACCACCGTGAGTTACACTTTGTGAATCTCCTCGAAAATTCGTTTCTTCTTGTCAAAAACCTACTGTCTACCCTACCGCTTTACACGGTTTGCCTTTGAAGAGGAACCCCCGGAGCAGAGAGACAATGCTTGTTTGTCCCTTGAACTGGAGTGTTCTCCCCTTAAATTAAATTCCCTATCCTAAATTCAACTCGCCAAACTCGATTACCCCTTCAATGTATACACACAATCCACGAGAATGTCATTTTAATAGAATTGCGTTTGGGCCTGTCGTTTTTTGAAAAAATTTAACTGAGAAGCCATCTGTGCCTTACCAAGGCTGTTTTCGAAACGTTTGAGATCTTCCTTATCCATTTCTTATTTTATTTAACAGATGCCTTCGAACTATGCGTTCGTAGATGTTTTAAGCCTAAATAGCAGGCCGATACCATAAAGAATTGGTTTCGATGCATGTACGTTAAGTATATTAATTGGCATTGCTTTAGATTGGTCTAAAAGTTGGGCTTAACAGAATGTTCACAAATTCTGGTAATATTCTAATTCGAACAGATTTAAACAGTTTCGCAGTAAAGCTATAAAGAAAATTGTAGCTACTATCTTGGCCACATTCTTCTAAATGTCATCTTCTTCGTTGGCCGCCTTGTCCCGCCGGTTTGCGAACCGGAAGAGATAACTCGTACAACAACAAACGGCAAATGCTATCTCCGAATTGTGGAAATGGCGACGGCCTGTTGGCTCTTTATGTACTTCTGAAGAACGCTGGTCAATTTCCCCCACGCCATAGTTTGAAGTTGTGTATCAAGTTCGCACTGTCAGCGTTACGGCCGTCTTCTATACTCATGTATATTTCCCTATCCAGTCTCGGTCCTGCTCGTTTCCAGCGCTAAACTTGAGCGCGAACCATTCATCATCTCAACGACGATGCGCGGTCCCCTTCAGAGATGGGGGAGCAACAAAACTGTTATAGCCTAGGGACTATCACAACTACATTAGTTCTATTATTCGGCGTTTTTCAACACACCGCATTACGTTCTTGCGACAATAACAGTAACATACATAGACGAAAAGAAAGGACAAAACTTGGCCTACTATTGTCTCTCAGCCGCAGCTGAAATTGCGAACTTTTTGAAGCTTTTGCAGCAAGCTCAGGGAATTTCAATTGTTGGCTGAGTTTTCTTTTGCCTAAAACACAGAGAAAGGGGTTTGATGCATGACTTTTGCCATTTTGAGCCTTGTGCAGTATAGCGACCTTTTAAGAATGATAGTTCCTGCGGGTCATACGTGCTAATGCACATTTTATGATGACAATAGTTTAGCCACAATAGAAATTTAGATTTTAATTATCAATTATGTTTTTATGCTTGTTAAATCAATAATAAGGTCCAGAAATGTTTATTCATTTGGGGAAAAACATTATTTAATGAAGCTAGTTCGTCGCGGCTATAAAATCATAAGTTTTCACAACGCATGTTTTTCAAAAATATAAATTCTGATCAGTTTTTGAGGATTTACCATACTAGAAAGAGAAATTAAATAATAAATAAATAGCGGTAAATAGCTGAGCTCGACCGTTCGAGGCGATGCACAACCGCATCACTTGTGTGGGACTTTAGATTAGAGGACGCGATGTTAGCATCTCCGTTGCTCGCCGTACACAACACAGTTTTCTGGATTATTTGCTTGTACTGCTCTCACGGATCTCATTTTATACGATTACGTTCATGCATGCATATATGCTTGTGTTCTATGCCAGCGTATCGGGTTTGGAGTTCCATATGCTGTGATCTTCTTTTGTGTGCTGCATTTTTTCGCTTAATGTTTATAAACTCCATTGACCAGCTGTGTGTGTAGCAACTGCGGCCAATGCAAGAGGTTCCATTAACTATGGGTGGAGTGAGAGCCGTTTGGCTATTTGCACAAACGGGGCAAACGAGCCGCCCAACCGGACTAAATTTAGATCTACATCCACATCCAGCCGAGTGAGTGTGCGTGTCTCGAAATCCTCGAGGGGATTACGTTGTCGAAGAACAAACCCAGTCCGGCCTTCCGACTATATATATCTCTCCCTCCGCGTGTCTAACTCTATAATCTTCTTCTAGACCTCCTCTTCCTGAAGAGTCTCTCTTGAAAGGCTAAGTCTGTTCGGCCTGAAAAACAAAAACGACAAGAAATATGTCGACTGACAAACTCAAAAGGACATTGAGCTGTCGAATCTTTAGGTTTTCTCTGTCTCTACTCTCTGCTGACAAAGTGACAGTGATTTAATGCTTCTGACAAAACGCTACACTAAGCCTTTGAGTTAATTGGCGTCTGTTGTTAGTCTCGTAGGCTTTTTTTAGCGCAGCGGTAATTTTTCGGCTGACCGAAAAGACCGTCACCATGAAAGTTGTGGAGTGGACAAATATGTACAGATATATAAGAATGCATACTTTTACAAACAAAGCGGCATGTGTTCGTGCAGCTTTCTTGTTTAAAATTCTATGGAGCTTTATCAGATCTGATGCTTTATTTGAATGAAAATCTATCATTAATAGAGCTTACATATCTCTTGCTGCCTTTTCCATGTATGCGAAATGACAAAACGAGTATACTCATAAAAGTTTACTCATAAAATTCAATTGTGTTGGTTGGTATTTAGTGTGACAAAAATGGACTATGATAGATAGGAAATATACAGACTTGATCTAAATACGGTTTATACATAAAGGAAATTTTGCCTTTGTATGGGATGAACTTCTTTAAAAGTCAAGCTAGGAAACGGTCGATGGGACATTGGAGGACTTTGGTCGGTAGCAACTATGGCCATTATGTCGTTACTTCAGAATGTTTCGTCTTTGTAACGCTTTTCACGCGTATCGTTGGGCTTTCACATGCGTCCGTCTAACGACAGTGGTGTAGCGGGGCTTTGGCACACCAGCGCATTGTAAAGGTGCCCCTGCAGATTTATACGGGACCGAAAAAAGGAGAGTCGTCTTTCTAGCAGCTTATGAGATAGACGAGGAGAGAACGAGAAAGAAAAGGAGCAGCTTGCCCGCTGTTTAGCTTGCGCAGCCCACATGAGGGTTTACAGTAGTGAATGGTTGAGTTGGTACTGTACAGTTCCCTGCAGCCCAGTCGGCCTCTCAAGATAGTAGCCTCTTTTTGAAACGGACGCAGAGCGTTGTTCTTAGTGTGGTTCTTTATAATGTTAATACTCAAAGACGACGAAATTGAGTAGCTGTGGCTAGGGCTAACTGCAGCGAATGAAAAAGGCCAGCGACTGCAGATAGCGGCTCCACTTACACAGTGAACTCCACCCTTAATCCACGTATTCCAGTATAACCCAGTTGACCCTCGAAAGGAACAGTAGCAACGCTGCAGCGGCACCCCAGTGAGTTGAGAAAAACTGAGTGACTGTGAGGGATGGAATGAGTGGAGAGGTAGAGAAACGAAGGAAAAGAGCCTTCTCTCCGGTGTCTTTTCTGCCCGTCTTTCTTTTTCGCCTGCTACTGCCCTCTTTGCCCCTGATCCCTTACAAGTCAATGTTTCGGGGAATGCTTGTTTGTTTGTTTTTTTTGCTGGTGTTGCTGCTGCCGGCAGATCAAAACGACTTCGCCCTGTGCCGTATCCACTTTGCTGGCAAAGTTGGAGAGGAGGCAAGAAGGGGGAAAAAATCCAAAAACGAGAAAAAGAAGCGTCGGGAAGAAACGTCTCCCGTAAGACAAAAAGCCATGCCGAACTGGCTATACCGTGACTTGTGATGCCCGGGCGTAGGCATATGTCGTTGGTCGACCGAGTGTCTAAAGGCTTTTCCTTCTACATGTGGGTGTATCGTTGTGCGAGAGCATCTACGACCTGGAGAATTTACCTCGCCTCCTACATAGTAGAGATATTTCCTTAGCGTCTAGGTACATGATGCTATACAGACTAGCACATTAGTGGAAGGTTAATCACGATTTGTGAGATGATGTATCTGGCGCGGTTCTATAAAGCATACAAAATGGCCTTCCGCTGAGGGGAAAACTTGCCGGCAGGGCTAAAAAGAGCAGGGTGTGCACCATGGAAGATCTTAAAACGCTATCTTCTAATCACGACATCTATTGCGCAAAGGCTACCGTTTTCCAATGTTGGCAACAATAAAGCCAATAACAGGAGTAATATCAGTGTCGATGTCAAGCAGGAATAGGTGTGAAGACGACTCAACTCCTGCCAGAGAGGAGTCTACCTTTGTTGATTGCATTATCGTTTACGCATATGTACAGCCTAGTATCTTGCATCTAGTAGTACTGAGTTAACATAGCATGTGTACAGGGAACACAAAACTCCGTCAAACATCGAATGGCTTCTCTACTAATTGTTCAAACAGGCAGCTGCACAGTTGACCATTGTGTTCCATTATCTAGCGTGCTGCTTCGTTCGTCGATAGCTACTTCCGCTTGTTCGGCTTCATGTGCAAGTTCTTCTTCGATGGCTAAGGCCCGATAGGCTCTAGAAATGTCATATTGGATAATAAAGCATTTCTTAATATCATCTACTGGGCGTATATGGACATAAATAGCATCACTGCTTTAAAAAAACCTCATCGAACGCTGGGGCTGTTTTACTATCGCCTGCCAAAATACTGGGCGGCAGAGATAACAGGAAGAAATGAATCGAATATTCACAGATGTACTCTAGCTGAGTTGTCAAGGTACATTTTGTAGTTTCCTTTTTTACCTTATTTTTTGTTTTATAATAATACATATACTATATAACAGAGTTTAGTATGGATAACAGTTGGCCACCGGCCACTATCAACAACAACCACTACTCGCTCAACAGGGCATTGCGTTATCAGCAGAACCTGTTCTTACTCAGCACTTGACAACTAGTTCTATAACAAATTGTTGCTTTGTTCTACGGCTTGAATCAGTTCGAAACAAGTCCATGTCTTAAACGTAATTATAGGAATAATAATTATCATCAATAATAATTAAATATATGAGACGATTGTTTTGAAGAAGCCGATTCCCGTTTGACGTTAGAAGTTAGAAAATGAGTTATATGTACGAGCAGCAGTTCTTTTTCTTAGACTATCTAATTGTCTGGCCCCTGGGGTGAAATTCTATTTCAAGATGTCTGTCTTGGAAATTCGCCGCGGCCTCATCCATTTCGTATATGGCCTTGGTGTCCGTGTGTTTACAGGGCTATCGTTTCATGTAAAACCCAATTGTAAAAACACATACCTTTGGCAGGAAGTATCTGATATTTTCCTTCACGACCTCGACTGAAGCAGCTTCCCTCATCCATTGTAGTCGCTATTGCTGCAGGGAATCGGAGCTTCAGCCACTATTTCGGAGTTCGTTTGATGAAAGCTGCTATGGATGTAGCGCGGAGTGGCTGTCCGATGACGCCATTGGGATTTGTAGGAGTTCTAGATCTAATCGGTCTTCCGGGACTCTGGCGATAAAGTAGAACTGCCAGTGGCAGTAACGAACATCCGACGATAACTAGCCGGCGAACTATGAACTTCCAATGTTACTATGGTTTTACCGGCTTCCATTGTTCGATTTGAACAGCTATGTACAGCTGTAATAAGTTGAATTAGCGAACGAGCCAGCAAGCATCGAAGAGTTATCACCCTTCGTTATGGCACGCAAGCGCTACCATTTTGTCAAGGAGCCGGTCAAAGTTACCCAGTAGAAGAACCACTCGCCAAATAGAATTAGAAAGAACGAGAGCCGAGTACGACAAATGGAGACGTTCAGGGGTTATCCATGGGCACAGCATCTACAGGACTGCAAGCGCCAGAAACAAAGTGAACAAAGTTGGAAAGGTGGCTAGAAGCTGTGCATAGCCACAGCATAGAGCAAAAGGGCATGCTTCGTTGTTGAATCGTTCTGTTAAAGTTCTATAACTACAGGTTCGTGTGGACTCGCTAACCGGGCCCATCAACATTTATAGTACGTATATATCGATACAATGCATTAGATCGAAGGGAAGATGAAGATTTCGTAAGTTATCCTCCAATGATAGTGTGTATACTGTTAGTCATAGCCGATACAAACGATAAATACATGAAACAGCGGGGTCACAACTACGCCACCATACAATGCATTTGTATTTTATAATATTTGCGAATTGCATAATGCTTCGTAGTATAGTACGCTATGCTACTACAGCTATCGCAAAAAGTAGAAAAGAAAAAGTATTTGACTAACAATAAGATTTAACTATTACCAAGCAACATTACAGAACAATCATATAAGAAACCCACTGGGACCAAGGACCCGGTCCTTGGTGGACATCATTTTGCAAAATCGTGTAGCCTTTTGAGAACAGTGAATGCTACGAACTATTTAGGGGGCAATTTTAAAAACAAGAAAATGAACTTTGACTGGCCGTCTGCTCGGCACTGTCCAACAACATCGTTACCATAGACCACCCAGTTGAAGCCTATCGTGATCACCTGTTGTGAAGATATTAGCAGCTGCAGAAATAATTGTATTGATGGCAATTACGCTGGGTAGTGATAACTAAATTTAACTAGCTGTCAACCATTATGCCAAAGCCCAATAAGCGTCCTCTGACTGGCCGCGTTCTGACGCCGAACGCATTGGAGATTACCGAGAGTGGAACTGAGACAAGTAAACGCCAACAGAAAGCAACCAGCCAACTCCACTCGGCCTGGCGAGCGAAGAAATTCGCGTCATTCTTGGTACTCGCTGCTTTTCAGACCTGTCCATCTTTGATTCGATTTTTTTGGTTACTTTTTTTTACCGAACGTCTAACCGCAGCACAAGCCGACTTTTCCATTGTCTCTATGTTTGACTAACTGGTTGTTGAGCCGTCGAACCGACTGGCAGCCCAGCATTAATAGAAAGCAAAGTTTTTCTTTAAAAACTTCCCAACGAACGGCCCGGCACTGCTGTCGCTGCCATTGCCCGGAGGTCTTAACTTGTTTGGCAGATCCATACTACTGCTGTTACAACTTGTCAGTAGTTACTAGCAGTTCTAGGAGTTTCATAAAAACTGCTTAGTTGGAGATCCTTCGCTTCAGTTTTCTCGGCTACGAGGGATAACGGTTTCCACTTGCGTCCTGGTAGAATTAAAGTCCAAGTTCGATTCCTCTGTCCTCTTTTAAACCTGGTGGCCGGTGCGTACTACCGAACATAATTTTGCCCCAAGGCTTAAAGGTTGTCACCTTGGCCAAAAACCCTTCACCTATCCAATTCGTTCGGATTTGTCTGCTGACGGTCCTAAACATTCGTAGCCTTCGTTGACGGCCAATTTTATCGGCAACTGGTGGCGACTATGTTCTGTTCGATTGGGATAATCTCAATTACGACTGTCTGGTTGCCTCCTAGAATAAACTTATGTGGTGGCAGCGTGTTCAGAAATCTATCGAACTCTAGGGCGCTGTTAGCAGGTACTTTTGGCGAGTGCAAGAGCCTCCTTCAGTGATGCGCTTACTGTAGCCAGAGATCTGGCCGACGAAACCAATTGGACACCGATATCGTGAGTCCTATGATATTAGATGCTTGGAAATAGTAATAATATATGTACATTGATTTAGAGTGAAGGCAAGGATGTTATTCGTGCAATAGCAAAAATAGCCAAGTGCTAATAATATAATACTACTACAAGACATACTGTATGTAGAAAATCGAGAAAGATGGTAGGATGTAACTTACTATAATATATAATTATTGCTAATACGTATTATGATTTTGGAGTGATAATCGCTCTATTTGGTAACGAAGAATATGCATAACATACCTCTTTCTGTAGCGCGGCATGGCCTGATTTCTTCAAAAGAAACGAACGCTGGATCAGCAACGAATGAGAATCTCTGTTGGTAGTAGAGCCCTTAACGCCACCGCTACTGCTATAGCTAGCATTGCAGCCCCCAGCAGCGTTATCTCGGTGACGTTCAGGTGGCCTTGGTCATGTTAGGTTAGACCGAAACGCAGCTGGGAGCCGTATGGAACAGTACCTTCAGGGCGTATAGTGAGCCAGGAGAGTTATGGAATAGTTCGATGGGTATTCACTCAATATGGATAAAGAGCAGGTCAAGATAGCTAGCTGATCGGGCAAGCGACTCAGTTCAAGACCAGACGTCCATCTTTGCTAGTCGAAAGGGGCATCACTACCGTAGTATCTACCACTGCCGCTCTCTGATGAGTTTAATCGTCAGGCGACTGGGCCGATCAACACAAGCCCAGCTGTTTTACTGAACCACTCCAACAACAACTCAAGAGGCAGCGCGAGTAATGCAAGCCACAGTCAGACCACCATTTCTTTACTCGTGCAACGCCATGGTATTGCTTCATTGTCTTCGTTGCTGCTGATACCTCTGTTTTTTCCTGACCGCTACGAAATTACGAGCAAGAATCGTTGTGCTCGCTGTTCACTAACAGGCAGGCAGGCAGGTAGGTAGATAGCGCCTAGGCAGCTGGATAGAAATCAGTCAAGCGTAGCGTACCTTTAATGAGCTTTTTTGTGCATATTCCTCGGTTTTGCCCTCATATATTTCTCTCAAGGCAGGTGGGGAATCAAGAAGGTAAAATACTCCTGCTGTTTCGACTACGACTATTACAACATTGTTCTTCAACTTTTTTCTTTGGGACTTGTACGTCATTCTCGTATATTGTCTCGTCGGTTCCCTTCATTTTAGGGGCGCGCCCACGCACGTCTTCTCATTGTTGTTCTTGCAGTCCCCTGAGCCGAGCCCCTTCAATCGTATCAGCTCAGATGTTAGGATATCAAAGTAACAGTAGCCGTAGTCATCAGGCGATTCTGTGCGCTTCAGGATCGGTAGTGGTAGATGGATTCAGCAGGCAAAAGAAATCGCAGGCAGGTATCGCCCCAAACCGCACCTGCTGGCAGCAAAAAAGGGACAGATAGCAATAATTCATATGCTGCCTCACCATTGTTATCCTTCTCTGCTCGTAGTGATAGCCGCCGTCTTATCATAGCAGAAAAACGGCTCCCGCAACAATTCAGCAGCTTCGCTTACCGGTCGACTAAATGGCTATGAACTGTTCTATCGTATAATATGAATGCTGTGGTCTGAAAGTTTTTCGCTGTTACAAAAATCAGGTGCAGAAAATTGGAAGTATAAGTGTCACAAAACTATACAAGTCAGACACACAGCAATTCCTCGTATTTTTAGCTCGTGCTTTTTTAAATTTTTCTCATATTTTATTTAATTTCTCGTCTTTAAGAACGACCTGCACAGAATGCCCTCGATTATATAAAATCAGAAGGCAAACGCTTGGCAGGGGAAAGGCATTGTACAGACTGTTGCGAGTTTTGTGCGGCCATAACCAGTTTAAGTTATTCAGCGAATGTACGAGTTTGCATATTGGCGGGCTAACAGTCTCTAACAGCCTTTCATCTGAGCATCATTTGATCATAGCCACGTGCAGAGCATCTCTCAAAGTTACGATCATTATCTTCTTGTTCAATTGGCCCTTTGTTCGTATATATCAAAGAAACCACATTCTAAAGCAACTACGATTATGAGAGGTGTGATAATTGGCATGCCGCGGTATCAATTATTGATTCTAACGTTAGTTTCACGCACTAGCAACTCTCAACTCGATCGTACGGCGTAGAAGAAACAATGGCAGCGGTGCCAACTTGTTCCCTGTGAACGCCATTAATTATGGCGGTGGTTAAAAAAATGTAAATCCAACTCTGCTATCTCTCACTCTTCTCGACAGTACTTGTGCTCCTTTATAATAGTTTAATATATATATATATATATATAAAGATCAAAGCGTAGATTTGTGGGGCGACTGCATGGTAGCACTAGAACTATATATATGCAAATAACGGTTGTACCTTTTATATGATCAGCGGACCTACTGGTCATAACTGCCACTTTACTGTTCACACCTTCACCCACCGGCATGTTCAGGACTAAAAACCGAATCCTTAATGATAGTGTCTTGGCGCTAGTTTGCCAATGTACGAAAGCTTTTTCGAATCGTTCCATTAGCTTGGGTTGCACTTAAATATTTACGCACCGCAATGCTTGTCTCGCATAGGTGTCTATCCGGTAAGTAATGCAGTAAGTTTTCGTTGCTGTCCGGCCATCACCAATATTATCTCTTCAGCAGCTGCAGAATTGCCTCGAAAGTTTGGAGATACTGAACAGGCGGCGGGCAACAAGGTCGTCTGCTAGTTGGCGGTCAGACTTATTGCCCGGTAAGACAAACACTTGCGGCTTTCAACGGCTTGTGGCAGTACAGCCGCCCGACGAGCTGGCCCATGAAGTACGTCCCAATGGGATAAAGAGACCACTCGTTTTAAAGCAGCCAGCCAGTTCTTTCAGCTGGCCATATTAGGTTCTGGGAACTCGAAATCCGTTCAGAGTTTTCCGACAAGTATAGCTACCACTTTCAGTGGATTAAGCCTCGTTTCCACTGCCTGCGACTAATATATCCATCGTTTTCTAGCAAGACAACGCATTCTCGAAGGACCTGTTACAATGCAAAAACGATATAGCAACCGGGGTATATCTAAAGTCAAAAATACATCATCGCAGTAATACTCTACCCAAGTGAAATGGCCGGAATTGTTAGTGACATGGTCGTCGATTACATGAATTTATTGAATGCTTGCGTAAGACATGTATGTGCTACTGTTGATTTAAGCCCCGTCAAGTTAGCCAAAGTATTGCTTGACATTTCTGCGATAATGTAACTAGAAGGGGTTTACCTACGAATGCTTTCAGATGGCTTAACTTGAATGTACACATAATTATATGTAGAAAAACCTATTTATAGACACATGGGTGATTACCCTTTAATTAAAGTTTAAGATTCCAAGCGTTATTTATTGTCATGAAGTGTTACGCCATGCTATGGAATGGTCAATGTATATCTATGATATAATTTTGGGTGAATAGATTGACAATGTATGAGATACACCGTATTTCCTTATATCCAAATACAAAAAATGATCTTTTTTTGTTAATATAAAATATTTATGCTTCCTTTGACTACTGTTATATTGATGTAGTTATTACTAGTTTATTATCTATTATTACTTTATTACTATCACCCTCTCTGCTAGAGGCAGACATGACGTTACTATTATTATTATGGTAATTGTTGTTATTATGACGCAGTAAGTTCGTAACGATTACGGTGGAAAAATTTTTAGCCGTTTTTTTTAATTTTAACTGTTTTTGTTATTATATAGAATAAATACTTTCAGCAGTACATCCTCGTTTTCGTCTGAGAAAATATTACGACCCTACCATTATACTTCCTATTACTTCTACTGGAGGCATTTAACCAAATTTCTTGAAATTATTTGAATACTTTATTATTAATAAACTTTATTATTAGTATCTCTGTCCCTTTTTTGCAATGTTTTTATCATAATTACATTGTATGGCTAAATATTTAAATTAATCTATATTTCAGTCTATATTACAGTTATTTGCTGCTGTTATTTATTACTTATCAGATTGTTGCGCTCTGGTTTTTGTTTGCCATCTTAAATTCATTACTGTGAGATTTCTACGCTTCGCTCTTTACGGCTCCTATGTTTTGGCCGTTCACTCGCTGATAACTCGTTTTTTATTATTAACTTATGCGGTTCGCTTTTTGAATAGAGATCAAAGTCTTTTTTGTGTATCTGATCTCATATACATTATTATATAGTCTTAAAATAAGTAATGGATATTAAGAATAAGGCAATCCATCCAAGTCCTACGATTATTCGCATACGGCGCCCTACATTTCCCCTATTTTATGGACCTCCTTGAAATTCCCTTATGCCATAAACTACTCGCATCTCATTCAACCGTTGTATAATTCCACATATGTTCGAGTGGTCCGCTCAGGAGACAATAAATATACTCTTGACACAATTTCTAAATCATACTTACACAATTACCTTCCTGCATGTTGCAGTATTTACTCTTCTTTCAATATATATTCCTCCTTTAGCTATAGCGAAGAGCTGTGAACTAATTATGGGTTACGGAGTCAACAACTAGCACAGTCATTGTTACCATAATGTATCTTCCATCCCTTAATGATATTCGTGATCTAATCTGACCGTTTGTGGTCATTTTATGTCAATTTGCAATTTTTAGCCTGGTAATTTATATAATTTCGAAAAATAACCATACGAGTCGTAATCGTAACAGCGATAACGCTGCTTATAGTTATCCGAGATAGAACAGGGTTTACTTCTTTGACTGTCACTTAAATAGTGGTTCATTATGTTGATCAGCGAAGGTCAGATCGACGGCGTTTTGTCATCTTCTGTGTACTGTCTGCCCCCGTTTCTTTTGTTCTGTGGTATTTTCCTTGCTGCGCCTGCTTCTGCTTTTTAACGACAGTGCAGTAGTTGTTTCCCTATGATCTACATTGTAGTAACCAACGTGCTGAGAAGGCTTGTATTGCTGAATAAATCCACATAGCCAAACAGGCGCATGATGATTAATGAAAGTACACAGGTAAATGGGAAAGTGAATCAGTTACGTGCTTAAAAATGTCTACATTTTATTTATTCGAAACAGGCATACGTTGCCACTATCGCCTAATTTTGTACCTTACTATTGCATACGAGGACATATAATCCTGTCTTCCAGTATCATATGGGAGGACCAATAAGATGAGAACGAGGCCAGCTGACCGTACAAAGTTCATCAAAAGCTGACCTCGTAATAAGAAATACCTCATATTGATGCGCAGAATAGAATTAAAAAAAAAAAACACAGAGATTAAAGCAACGCAAATGTAGCTTTTCTGTTCGTCGGACATCTTGAAATACAAAGTACTAAATTCAACAAAGACGTATAGACATATACACACACCATCGTCTCATACAGAGCACAAATTTATGTACAAACATTTGATACGCTAAATGTTTTCTCAGTATTCAAGGACTATATTATTGTGGTATAAAATCCATGTATTACTAATCCTAGATTATTTTTACACTGTTTAATCTGCCCCAGATTTCAACAGCAATCCTGAACAATGTATCTAATGGTCTTGCAGCTTCGCGTTTTGTATAGCAGTGAAAAGTATCCAATCAACTACCATACTAATTTCTCTTACCAGTCGGGTTCGATCCTGTCAAGGTCCTCGATGTCGACGAGCTTGCCATCTCGTTCCATGTTGAGCTCATCGCGCTGGAGCAGCGATTTGACAAGCTCCTCATTTAATCGTTCTACCTGGCTCTGAAGGTCACTAAGAATGAGTTGTAATTTGGCCACACTCATCTTGGATAGGACAGGCCGAGTGAAACGGCGGGCTCCCGGCGGTAGCAGCAGAGATGCAACGGCACTACGCCTCTGCAATGCTCGTAGTTCACGCTGCCGGCTCAGTTCGCGTCGAGCAACTTCGGGCGCCTGCGCCAACGCCAGCCGCGCCTCCGCCATCAAGCGCGTCTTTCGAGCTGAGAACGACTGATCATCTGTGCAGATTGGCGTCATGCAGCCCAGCCGAATGGGTTTGCGCCGGCATGGAAATGAAGTCGGCCGTTGGACTCGGCTTTTACGAGGCGGTCGAACCTCTGCTGCCTGCCAACACCGAATGGGAATGAAAGCAAAAAATCGAAATAGACAAAGAAAGAAACGGAACGACGAGTCAGGAGCGATATGCGTAAGCAAACCATAAACAGAGAAGCGCAATCACAAGCAATCCACTTCCGAATATCCAATAGTGTTTTGCCGCACACTTTGTTGCATCATGCAAGACAGCCCCCATGTGAACATATAGAACGTACATATAAAGGTTACACTAAAACATCGTTTAACATCCTCCAGCTATTCCCGCGTTGGTCGGTGGTGAATTAAAGTCAAATTGATTACTCTTGCCGTATCATGTACGTTCCGCACACAAACGAGAACTTTTTAGGCGTTCGGATAGACGACTCGCTAGGCAACCGGTTTGCAAGTGCTGGCTCGACACTTGAGGAGCAGCATGCACCATAGATGCATCCTACTGTCTACGGTTCTTTTCCAGTGTTGTGTTTATGACTATGCCCGCTTCAGTCGATAATCGACTTTGATTATGGAGGTAAAGCCTAAGGACAACATATAGGATAAATGAAGGGAGCTGTAGCTGAAATAGACGCATACAGCAGGAAGACTCCAAGGAATTTAGGTGGCTTTAGGCCAAAAAAACGCCTGGTGGTGAGCTGTAACTGCATGATAGGTGCGCCTGCACTAGCGCTTGCTGAGGGCGCTACAAAGAAAGGCTTCTTTTGTAAAGGCTAGATAATGGGTCGGGAACGCGGAAACGAACATACCCAAGGTCTCTTTGCCTCGCTTCGAGTAGAATTGGCCGGGCAAACTCGTGGGTGCCTTTGGCATACACTGGAGTGAAAAAGCAAACTGGAAAGCAGGTCGCTTTGGAAAGATCGGAAAACGATAACAAAATCCTCGCTTACCTACCTGATATCCTGTTTTTTTTGGGGGGGGGACGTCAATTGGGTTGCGTTGCTTAATTTTAGGCGAAGATGAAACTCTGGACAAAAAAAGAAACCGACTAGGAAAACAAAGTTTTTGCTTAATTTTTCTAATCGGTTCCTTTCTAGGCTGGGGTTTCAGTTTGCAACAAAAGATTAATGGAGATAATAGAATGGGAGAAAACGGAAATAATATTGTGAACGGCTGACTAGAGCTGCTCCATGGTGTAGCGTCGATTATGAAACCCATGTACTAGTGGTGTCGTTCGGGTCGCAGTTGGAATTCTAATTGCTGGCTGGCGAAAGCAGGGGCCTCATACCTGACCAGTCGACTACCCCAGAAACGCGCACTTGTTGGCATCCCTGTGTCCTCTCGAACACCTTCCACGGGCATATTCCACTTCGAACGACAATTACCTATACTGGCGGTCAAAAGCGTGAGCGAAAGGGAGCCACCGGGGTTCAAGAACGTAGAGTGTACCAGCCATACTGCGTAACAACAGACTACTGCAAGTCTATTTAAGGGAAACGCTGATTAGGTTAGATCCAGTTACTTGTTAGCAACAACACTTCGATCCTTCGCCAGTCGTGTCTGTCTATACCACACACAGATAGCTGCAGGCCTACCAACCGCACTGATCCTGCAAGAGTAGTTATCCAAGCGGTCAACGGGGTAAGCATGAAAGCAGGAAGACCAAAGATGATGGCGGGAATACCAAAAGTCTACCACAGACCTTCGCCTCGACCTTGATGTCTTCTGGAGAGCTCTCAGAAGTTCGTGGAATAAGTAGATCTCCATCGTCGATGTCCAACATTGCCAATCGTTGTCGAATCTCTTCGCGTTCATTGCAGGGTCTCTGCAAGACGAAATAAAGCACCCGTTCATGCTATTGCTATAATCATCGTTTTTTTCATCGTTTTATATCTTTTGAATACGCGCATTTTTGTTCATGCTACTGCATAGTTACTAAATCCGCTGTGATCATCATAAACAAGCTATATAAACTAGCGTTTGTTCCTCTGACGAGCTTTGGGCCGCAGAACCGGTTCAGCAACTAGAACAGAGCAGATACCGGGACTTAAAGGATTGAAGGAAGGTTGAAAGACGGACAAAAAGGCCGACATCAAACAGCGATGTATGGACGCTACACATGTGCGACTCTACGTATGATCGTGGCCTGTAGATCTAGATCAGCTAGCTAGATTGGGAGCTTCCTATTTCCATTCCGAATTTCCTGGCTCGTCCAGTTTTGAGACGAGTCGCTTCATGACCTCCCGCTTCGCCAGCTGCATAACCAAGCGACGTGACAAATGCCACTTTCATCACGCCAGTAGTTGTTTCGTTGTCCTGTATAAAGCGACGCTGCGGTGGGTCCAAACAACAAGAATGCGCCAAAACACTGACAGACGTTCAGATGGAAAGATCATCGACGACCATCATCCTTCGCTGTTGACCTGCCATCCAACAGAATGGATGAGTAATGATCAACGATGTCACGTCATACGGTTGCCATCCCTATCCTTGCTAGTGTCGCTTACTACTCACTGAAGTGCTTACTCTAACACCCAGCTATACAGATACATTAACGTGTACGAACGTGTACAGTGTCATAGCTCCATGACCTCTTGAACTAAACCACTGCTCCTAGAAACCGGTCCTACTCGACCCTGGTCAATACCCTGGCAATGGCACTCGACGCGTACTATTTATCTATCTCACTTGCTGTTGGCTGTTCTCGACTTCATTATTTCTGCGACCCCTTCGACCCATAATTAATCTCATATGTCATACGTATCTTTCTTCCAACTTCATAACGATAATAATGATGTGTATCTGCATATGGGTACACGTTCAGGCACGCAGTAGTTGAATGTGTGTGGTTTCATCGAAATATGGCAGCTGCTAAGCTGGAACTGGACGATTTGCAAGGTGCGTGTTGTTAGGCTAGCAACTACATTGTAAGTTAGCATTGTGAGCGCCTTATTGCACGTAAAATTATTTCTATACTTATATCATATAATTTGCAAAAAACTGTACAATGGCTAGATACTGAAAAATATAAATATAAAAATATACATTATGTCATATTTAGGTTCGTTTTAAATGATCAAATATATGATTTCGACCTCCTTTCAGCAACAGTCAAAGTTAAATGGTGTAATCTTATTTGTGTAGGAGATAGTATTTTCTAGTGATCTCTCTCTCTCTCTCTCTCTCTCTCTCTCACACACACACACACACACTGAACAAATATGGAGATTGAGAAGGAAAAAGATCTCTGAGGTCAGCATTGCACAGACCAAATCAGCCTCTCCTACTATTCCGTTGTCACTGGCCTCGTTTAGCAGACATCTTCCACTCGAAGTAGAATTTGATGAGATTGCTCATCATCTCTGAAATATGGCTCTTCGAGCCTTGCAATTTTCTTTTTACACTTGTTATTACCGGTGTTCTCTGATTAAGTATCCATTATTAGAATGCTATTAAAAACAAAAGCTTGATTCGCAAACCTGAATTATTAGTTGACTGGAACATGGCCAATAAATTATAGCCATATTCAGATTAGTCGCAAATAACAGAGAAAAAAAAAACAAAAAAAAGCTAGGCTGATAACAACAGGAAACGCACAAATCTCATCTAATGCCAGCAAGTACGCCTTACACGGTAATCGTGTAAGGTGATTTACGATTGGCGAAACGACAGGACAGCCGTTATAGATTAGAAGGGTATGCGTTCGGGTGCAAGCCAAGGTCTAAACTAAGGACGAATTTACGGCCAACGTTGCTGCTGGACTACGGGCATTATCCGAACGTGTTGTGGTGCGTGTTCGACTTCTTCTAAGCTCTTTGACTCTTCACCCCGTCGCTGAAGATACGCCTCACTGTTTTCCCCTGTCTCACGTTCTGTTTCGTTCCTTATCAACTGGATTGCCGACGTGCGTAGTGGTATTATAGTAGCGTTGGTCCTATTCATTTTGCTGTTCTCGGTGTTGTTTGCAAAGCGAAAAATGGCACCGGGTCAGCAGCGCCAGTTTGGCGCTTACTTACTAGGGCATGCACAGACGACCCGTGACCCGGGGATCACCAAGGCCATAACAGCCTGCCAAGGACCCATGCAGACTCAATCTTTCGCCATCGCCTCTCTCTATTATATTCTTACACTCCTCTTTGCTTTTTGCTGCTTTACTCCCCTGTTCTCGTTATCTTGATAACAGTGTCAATTTTTCATCACTTTCTAAATGATGAATTTGCAGCCATCCCGGCTGTACTACGTCTGGCTCACAAGACTAGCTACAACAGCCATATCTGCTGGAAGCTAAGACCGCGCGACGGAAGAATGGCCACGATCTGAATGATGCGTGCCCTCGACACCATAATTTCTTGAAAGATCCCTTGACCCACCCCTATACAAAGATGTTATATAGTACTACGAACACTCGTTTTATCTCTGCCTAGTCTGTATCCATTTCTATCATCCCCAAAGACAATAGCCTGCAGGTTAGACAGCGACCGTCGCCAACAGGGTGTAAGCCGTTATCAGAATCACTAAAGGAGGCAGAAGAAGAAATCGCCATGTCGCAACACATTTAACTTCGCGGTCAGTATATTATTGCAGCTTTCACCGTTTCGATTACATGATATTAAATATTTCGAGTTTTATGCCCGGTACCGTTGCTAGGCATTCTACGATACAACTGGTCTCCAACACGCAACTATTTGTATCTGCTTCCGGATCGAAATAAAAATTATCGTATAATACGAATGATGACATATATTTTTCAGAGCGGAACCAAGACGCTGAAGGTATGTATGACAGTTTAGGTAGACACCCGTTTATAGGCCGCGTCTTTCTGACATAAAATGAGAAGGGGACGAAAGTTGAACGAAAATCGTCAATGTTTCACATATTATGCTAGGATGAGCACATTATTTCAAAATCTATAATCGATAGAATTCTTTATTATTCGTGTTAATGTCATAGTGGTTCGCCTGTGACGGATACACACTCGCAAGAATCTATAGGGCATTAGCGTTACATTATCAAATGCTCTTCTATGCGTAGACTGTTAACTGCTGTCGGGCATATTCTATTGGTTTTGTACCTCAGCGCTATTGTCTACATCCTCTGTGTTGCCCCAGGCTCATATGCATGAACGCCAGGATAAGCTGTGCAGTATTAGGTTATTTGACTTCACCTACCCATCATCGGACATAAGCGCATTCATGATGGCCAGCCGTCGTCGCCACCGCGGCTTTTTTCGTTATAATTCCCTAGCCGAGGAAAGAGAACGGGATATATTGTTGGGCATACACACACATTTTGTGTATTCCTTATCTACTAAATGTACAGTACCTCAGCTACTGATAGCAGTCACGTTACAGCAATATCATTGTTACAGTAATAACAATAATAGTGACACCGTTATTGATCCACGTGTTGTATGGATTAGTTGCTATAGTTTACGGCAAGAACTTAGGCGGGTAGAGGACAAACGAAAATAAGCCTCTACATCCTGCTCGACCACGTCTCTCTGTGTAGTAGCCGAAAAAGTCCTTTTGCCCCTCGAAATTCGAAGTTATCTAATCGACCTGTAGCGCGTATGAATCATAATGTGGAAACATACAGGGAAACAGATAATGGTTCTTCCAGCCTTCTGAAAAAGCTTAGGGTCAAATAATTTCCCCAGTCTGGCTCTATATAGCCTAACTTCCCCAGCTTGCCTATGTAGCTCTTAGGAGATCGCAATTAGTTTTAATCGAAGTTAACTGTTCGTTTCTATCTTAGCGGTAAATCGCAGATTCCCAGTTTTTCACTTCATCCTCATCGTCACGATATCGTTAAGCAAAAAAAAAAAAAAAAAAAATAACGATTCACAAACCATGCGCTACATTAGTAAATAGCTATCTATCAGCTAGCGCAACGATCCATCAGGTAGATCCAGGATAGACTAAACGTTGTAGGATGCATCCATGATAGACAGCCTGTTGAATATAGCATTTTGCAAATCCCCGTCGGCGGATCATAGAGTAGACAATCCGGAAAAGAAGGAAATGAAACTATCGTTCCGGCAGACGCGTGGCTGATTCAGCAGCTCCGCTGGTGCTGCTACGGCCGTCTGAAGCACTTTATCGCTCTATAAAGACGCTACGACGGATGAAATTGGTCACGGCCAATCAAAGAAACGTTCATGCGACAGAGAATGCTTCGGCGCCTGACGCTTTCAGCCATGCTATAATACAACGACAAACGGCGAATACACGCTGCAAATGGTTCGGTCAACCAGTCGTTCGCTTCCCCATCTCCTGTGGCGGCTGCATCTTCGATGGGCAGCTAAACGAATTTAATGGGGTGGGAAAGCCATTGAGGGAAATACGAGGAAAAATGACTGAGAATATGGGCTAGAGGGGACTGGAAGATTACAAAATGAGAGGACTTGATGGCTTTTTAGGCGAGCAGGATTCTCTAAGTTGTTGTTATTGCTTTTACACAAGGAAGCACGAGAGCACTGACGAACGATGCCGTTGCCATGCATAAATAAAGTTAACTGTTAAATTAATTAAATAAAAATAAAACTAATAAATAAAAATTTTAAAAAAGCTTAATACTTAGGCCTTTCTTTACTTTATTTTACTAGAAACCACTAATTAAAGCAACTAACAGGCCTCAACAGGCTGCAGTCAAAAATACGCTAAATAAGCCGGTTTCTTATTTACTTAAGTACTTATGGTGTCTAAACATGTAAACTATATGACCTTATCAAAGGAGATAGGTGCGCTATATGTTGCAGAATAATAGGTCTTCCACCAAATCGAAATAATGGGTTAAAGTACCTTTTGAATACAACACAATATTGTTTACCAACATATTGCCTAAGCTAAAATCAAAAAGGGCATAAAGAACAGGCCTCGTAGGTTCAAAGCCTGTAAGCTTCGAGCATTCATATGGTTTACGTCAAAATCCTAAATTTCGTACACGAATATCACGTATTCTGATTTAATTATAGACGACTTTTGGAACCTATCAACCTTTGAAGAATACTCCAATGGGTCCTATGTTAATGACAGAAAAACATCTGAATCCGGCCAATGTTGATTCATTGTCAGGAGCTTCCAAAGAACCTTTGTATATTGTCTGTTCAGTATCAACGTGCCGTGCGACATTCCGCTAACGAAGTTGCAGTGAAACGGTATAAGCCCGTCACATGAATGCCGTCAAGCAAGAACGAAGCTAAAGTCTGCGCGGAACCATAGAGTGCGGTCAGATCAAATAAAATCCTTTCATTGTTTGTTGAAAAGAACGCATGATCACAAGAAATCCTCTTTCCTTTCTTTTAAATTGTCCGAGAACTTGGAAATTTTAGTGGAGATAGCGTCGATTGAAAACATTACCATTCCCCAGTGTACTATATGCTTCAGTAAAAGTACGCGCAATGAGGCGCTAATGACATGATAACGCTCATGTGGGTTATATTAAAAGTATATGCGTGCGCGCCCCATATACTTAACAAGTAATCACCACAAAGCTCATAAGAGCTTAATAGAGGCAAGCTGGGGAAATTTATTCTAAAAGATTCTCTTTGAAACGTTACCATGCGCACCTGTCGACTGTAGTCTGTTGGTGGTAAGGGTTGTGGTTGAATATGGTTCCGTATGCTGTGAAGGCTGCGAGACGGAGCTAATTGCCGCGCACGCAATGGCGTCCGGTCGAGCAGGGCTTGGGCAGCTTTACGGATCAGTTCCTCAGTTTCCTCCGTGTCGCCGCTGCTTAAATCGTTTAAGTTACCTGCGTTGTGAATGTCAAAGAAAACAGCGAATAGGGCAACATAGAATCAGTATTATTAGGTGATATGTTTGCAACATAAATTCTATCAGAAGACAAAATAAATAACTGTTCTTATTAACTTCCACCTATACGCATCCAGAGAAAAGCATAATGTCTGACGTTCGTAATAAAGCTATTGTGTCAGACAGTTTGCTTTCTGCTAAGGAATTGGACGGGTGTCGCGGACGTATTGCCACATTTCTGCATCGAACGCCACGCCCAGATAGCATGGCATTACCGTTATGGCACCGTTGAGTCGTGAACAAAGTTTGGCAAGACCCGTGCTGGTACATCACCAACCTCGAACTAGGACAAGCCTGTTTTTGTCAAGCTTTTAGCCGTCACAGACAGACAGACAAAGCCAGTTGGTTGACTTAATCAGCAATTTTTTCTGTGAAGCTTTTTACACGCAACGAAAACTACTGGTACGTTTACTTGACAGGCCTTTATTTCCAACAGAACTATTGGCTCGGTGTTATAGCTATGTGAAAGGAAGGCATTTTGGTATCAAGGTTTCGTCACTGAAAGGCCGCGTGTATGAAGTCTAAACCGCGCCTAGTTATGAGAACAAAATTATTGGGCCTACAAAAGAAAAAATTAGGCAAGTTTACATGTAGTTCATACAGTTTTCATTAACCGCACACTACCGGTACGCCGATAAAGTTCATGCAAAAACACCTACCAAAGAAGTGATCGTATCCAATCAGCGATTTAGCTATATAAACCAAAACAAACTCTTTTTGCTAGGCTTTTTGCAATAATGTAAAAATCGTAATATAAAAACGAAATCCGAAATCTCCTTGATTTTACAATCGTATTTATGCATGCAGTGTTACAGTTCAATAGAAAAGAAAAGCATTCGTAAGATTTATCACTTTAGGGCTCTGTCTGACCATTATTCCAAATGAAATTTTGTGATAATTAAGTAAACTCACTTTGGTATTATTAGGTGGTTACTGTAGATATCAGGACTGAGATAAATGGGAATAAGCACATTTCCATAACATGGTGACATGTATGATTCATAATTAATTGTTTATGGTACATGACCTATCTTGACCGATAAGTTTACTCTTTTCTCGTGTATCCTTAGCCTAGTCATTCATATAAGTATTCTATTGAATTACCGAATGACAAAATTGTTATTTTTTCGCTTTATTTACATTGACATGTCGCGGTTTTGTTATGACACGTTTTTCAAGGTCGTACAATAATGACAACCCTTCAGATCACATCTATTTCATCTTTCAACGCGTTTTTGTTCAGAATGGAAGATCGAGTTATCGGTGTAGCGTACCGTTGTACATAAACAACTCACCTCCTTCTCTTTCCTTTTTGGTAAATAATCCTAATCTAGTCCGGACCGCGCTCTTTATCCCACGATCCCATCGAGCCCGTTCTCTGGGTCTTGGTCTTAGGTCTTCGGGGCTGAGTCGATGGAGCGTCGGGCAGCCAAACCGCTGGCGGTCATATAGCGCTCTTCATACAGCGGCCGAAAGGAACAAGGCTTATTTTTCGTGTGATATGGAAATTTACTTCTCTTACAACTACCTACCCTACGATCTCATATACATACCGTTATACAGGGTCTCTGCTAGTGGCAGCACACACTGCCGCGTTGGGAGCAGCGATGACTGTGTACGCGCAGTGGTGGTCGTTCAATATGGAAGGCCCTTTTCGCCTGTTTACTTATTTCCCCCCTTTCAATCTTGCCCTGTCTCGGTACAATCCTACGGTTACTTGGTCCTATACGCTGTCAACTCTTTGCCGGTAAGAGTTTTTTAGACAGAATAGTTTCCTGCACACTATCATATATATGGACTCCAGACAGAGAGGCCAAGCCATCACTCCAGCTCTATTGTATCGCGTTATACGCAATGCCGCAGGTCGACTGAGGAATATGTGGCAGCACCGCTGCGGTCATGTCAGTGGCCGGTTCGCCAATATCAGCCGCTATCGCACGCGCTTGTACCTCGCCTTTTTCAATGTCACAAAACTAGATAAATTAAAAAATGAAAAACAACTACCACTACTAGATTTGGCGATAAAGAGCAGCAAAATACGAACGGAAGGAGGACAACCTGTCAGTTTGCGTTAGATGGATGATATTCAATGGAAATCAGTTAAAGCGCGACAAAGCAGACGACCAAGGCCAACAAACAAATGAGCAGAGACAGAACGGTAGGTAGAAACTAAATCGATCGCCCGCGGGTGCCCGGCAGAAGCATAAATATCCGCTGCGATCCCTCACGATCATGCTCCCTGTACAGCTACGTGTACTAGTGTAGGCCGTTCCAAGAAGGGAAATGTGCTGATAATCTGCACTTTGTCTAGCAGCATATTAAATAAGTTTATTTAAAAAACGACTGCGCAAGTGATGAACCTTGGAACAAAAGACAAGTGAGTAGACGCTAAAACGACGTAGCAACAGTAAAAATAGCCACCTTGATCTCTACGTCTGCAGTGGACTGACGAGTCCAACAAAATCGGGAGCGGAAAATGCATGCGCTTATATCAATCATTGAACCAACGGCCTTCTTGATCGTTCTCTTGCGTAGTACAGTCGGACAGAACAGAATCTATGTACACGCAGCCACTGTGTTCGGCGGAGAACAAGGGGGCTGATTAGGAGGATTGATAGAAACAGACATGGACGAAGACGGGGGAGATAACTTGGTGGCTTCTGGGCTGGTAGGCCATAAACTTGTAAATAGTAGTTGTAGAAAAGTAGTCTACCGCCTCGTTTTTGATTTTTTTCTCCTTTGGCCTTCTCTGTCTGCTCTGTTTTTTTTTTTTTTTTTGTATCTAGAAAATGTCCACTGCTTCGGAAATTTATGATAACACCGTCGTACTAGCGATGCCTTTGGTTCTCGTCCGCCTCTGTAGCTTCCGCCGATTCCTTTGACGATGGTGGTGTTGTTGGCATCTGCTGTCGCTGTTATTGCTGACGATAATGGCGATGGGCCCTTTCGCGATACAGCATCTTTTCTCCCACCAACTCGCTCGTCGTTTTTCTCGCTACGATGTTCGCTATGATGCGCTTTTTTCATCAGGGCATCATCGCGCTGTCGCGACCGTCGTCATCGAATAGGCTGCTGCCGCTGTCGGCCTTCCTGGCGTCTGGTTAGCTTGGTGGCCTGCTTTGTGTAGGTTTACAGTGGGCGGTATTATGGGTGCGTTACTTGCCTACGATGGCTTTATATTGAAAAGCGCGAGCCAGTTACGAACATCGGCCAGAAAGAGGACGTGTCCTTGATTCGCTCAAACCGAACGAGGAAAACGAGGCAGCGGTGACCTGCCGATAGGTATTTCAGATGATGGAATCGTAGATAAGGGCAGGTTATGCTGAATATAATCATTGGTTGAGTAAAAAAAAATTGTACGTAGTCGTTGATCTAGTAACAGCTTATTTTTTGTTATATACGCTCTTTCTCTATCGCTTGTTGTTCTTGCCGCTGGGTATGCTACACGAACGTGTACGTAATTAGAGAGAGGGAAGCTTAATTAATATGCGTAGACAGCCAGTGAAACCACGTATCAATTTTAATTCGAAACTGTGCTTCAGAAATGCGGCGATGGTGGCAATAACGAGGCTGATATCCCGCACGTGTCAGAATTCTGCTGAGCTTGTCCAACGAATGCAAAAGCACTTCAGGCTGAGAGAACAAAGAAGATTGCAATGGGGACCCCCCAGACACCTACGTCATTTCCCCAGAGAGAATTAAATGACGAGTATTGGCTGCGGGACCTGAGTCGGCGTTGTTGTTCGGTGCCACTCAAAAGACTAAATACTTCGATTAGATGTGTCGCTCCCCTTTAACTTTAACACTTTTAACTATGTATGAGGACAAGTTAATTTTTTTGGTTGCAAATAGGAATCAAAAGTAGAATAAGTTAATTGTTGAGTTTATAGTGCATATAGTGTATGCATAAGGCAAAATCGGGTATATTTTTTTATTACAAAGGAAAACTTTTTTCCCACACCGCTTTGTTTGCTGACGTTACAGAGCTTCATAGCCAATTTATAACTAAGTAACTTGAAATACCCTTCCTTAATATGTGACGAAATAGCATAAACAATTGCATATGAAGCCAAATCCTACGAGGACGACCGACATTCAATTTGTTCGTGTTCATCGAAATATATAAGTAAACAGCATTTGAATAGCTAACATGATCAGCGGCTTTACCACACTGGGATTGATACGCGTATGGATCACAAGCATTAGGATTTTGCGCCATTTGTTTCGCATAGAACCTTAATACCGGTTCGGCCATTGTTCCCATTAAAATCACTTACGTCTGCGTGGACTATTTACCACATTATGTTGTAGTATAGCATCGACTCCATAAGTGGTTCAAAATGTATGCTCCTGACGAGCATCTTTCGTACGCACACATGCAGACAAATCAAGTTTGTTTGAATCATTGAAGTAACGATCATAAATCCTTTTGCAGATATTTCATATGTGTATACCAACCGTAACCAATTATGAGCGGATGTTCTACTTATATAGCCTTCGAAGTTGAGCGTCGGTACTCTGTATTATAGGTACGTGCCGGTAGAAATTCTATTTCGTTATCGGTACAAGCCCACTAATAGGTCATAACCATCACGAAACGAGTTGGAATAAATTTCATGTTTCCTACACATCTAGTAGTGAAGGTTTCCACCACGCCAGCTCGCTGGGTCAAATCTAGTCATAGAAATCACAGTCATCCACTCCAATATCTGTTAGGATATTGAAGTTTCTACTTTCACATAGAGCCGGTAATTTCTCAAAACTTCAACTCCAAGGTATACGTGACAAACTAAATCGCCTCAGGCGCGTGTGCCATCAGTTGCTACATGTCAAATTGCCGATGTATCCTTCCAGAGAGGAATCACATCTAAGTTAAAAAAATATCCTCTCTACCACTCACCATTTTGATAAAATCCAAAATTTACGTTAGACGAAAGATCCGAATCTGTAGTTGACGATGAACCCGAAATGGAAGAATGCTCTGCAGCGGTATCGGCCGTTGAGCACTCGTTGTTGTTGGCCAGATCTTCATCTTCAGATAAGGACATGGGCTCCAGTTCGGAGCTGAGCTGGTCCGGTGGAGAAGTAGGATTTGAGATAACTGACAAATGCATGTCGTTTGAGTTACCAGCCGGGTGAAAGGCTTAGTCGATGGTGCGAAAGCCACAGCTAAAATCAGACGCAAAGACGAAAAGTAGTAACAGATTAGAACAGGCGCAGAATTTTCTAGAAATTTAAAATTTCCATTTAAATTGCGCATTTTCATTAGATACCTTAGAACAAATCTATTTGCACCTGTTCAAAATGACCGTATACGTTTTACAATATTTAGCATATATTCTAGGATATGGTAATATATAATATTCTATAATATCTGGCAGTTGGTGCGCCTAGACCCGTGAGTATTCGTTCTATTTCCTGGATAGGAGACTGTTGATTCTTTCCACCCAGGTATAACAGAAGGTAGATTGTTTTAGGCTCTGTTCGACTGTGTCACCAATTGCTAGTAGATTTTTTGATTTCGGAAGTAAACAATAATGTTTACGAGGATAAAGCAACAACGAACCTAGACGACCTGCACGAAGGTAGCTCGTTTGAATGTCTTATCTTATCGCTCATTTCGTTAACCTATTCAAGTTAACAATAGTAATTAACTAATAGGAACCGTATAGAGTGTTAGCTTCGTAATGAATACGCAAAGAGACGTTTGTCCGTTGTCTCAGGCACGTTGCAATATATATATATATATATGTATGTATGGGAATTTTACCAAATTCATTCATTCATTCATTCATTTCAATTACATTTGCCATTGATCAATATTAGACTGAGCGTATACCTCTCTGTCAGTGTCTTAATGGTAAATGTTAACACTTTCTACCAAGAAAACAAATTAACTTTGATTCAGTTCTGCAAAAATAGGCAGTGAACACGATAATTTTTCCCCTGACGACAAACTTTGTAAATTTATATCAACTCAATAACCTCAGATCGACAATTCACTAGATCATGAATAGGCAGGCAACAGGGAAAGAAGTGTATCTATGAGAATCAGGCTTCAGAATCGTTCGAAATTTGAGTTATATATAAATTACACTTTATATATTTAGTTGGAATAAAAGCATCGGTAAGGATGTATCGACTTTTGCTCCTATTCCTGTTCCAGTAGTTCAGCGCATAAATGTTAGTCTGTAATGTTTAAAGGAATCTGTTTGCATAGATCGCAGTTACAGGTAGAAAAACTCTTATTATTAGTTTTTAGTTCATAGTGGGATCGAGTCGTACGGCTCGTGTTTTTATTCGGGCTTTTAACAAACAGACTTCGAGCGCCCTCTAACGAACGATAACTATTGGCATCTAGATCTAGCTTGGTTTTCAGATGATTTCTAATGAAATATTTGCTTAACGCCATCGTAATTTTAGAGTTTCAACTACCGGGGTTAGTCTCAGACAGTATGTGTCGAATAGATAGATTTCGCTAATGTCGCCAATGGAAGACGACTGTAAAGCACGTTTCAGATTGCCTCCTTGGTAGCGGCCCTGAAGGACGCTTTGATATCGACGGGCTAGTTACGGACTGTCAACGAAAATAGTGCACCCCGAACGATTATTGCGCCAAAAAATAGGACATACATTTATTATAACATCCTGATTGGTATTATCGTATCGGGGTGACTGAGAAAAACGTATATTTTCATGTAAACACAAATGAAGATATTAGTGCCCTCTTGCAAAGGCCAAGAACAGTAGTAGATTCTCATAGACTTTTAAGTCTGCTATTAACTGCCGGTTTTCAATGGTAACATTTCTAATTAACATTCCCCTTATATAGTAGACAAATAGGAACTCTGTGTTATTATTTGCACCTGAACCTTTTAATAATATACTCGCTCTTCCAATGGAGCTCATTGTATAGAGAGTATACAATGGGCAGCCTATGCACCCTTTTCTTTCCCCTCAAGCTTATCAGTTATTTTCGATAGCCGACATTCAGCTTGAAGAGCAGCGATAAGCATCGTCCGAGGAAGAATTGCAAGTGTTCTCATCTGACAGATACCGCATTTGAATTTATTCTACACTAAACTTGGCGCTAGCGGTCAATGCAAGCGTCTGCAAACTTTTCTTAGAGGTTCACTAACTTTTTGAAGCGTTGTCACACCACATCCAATACTTTCAAAAATCTAAGATAAAAACAATAATTTTTCTCAATAATCAGTTATTCTTATCCAACGCGGTGCGGCTGAATACAAAAGAGAGATCGGTAAATGTCTGATACTGTCGTCTGATGGAATATTTAACGACTTAATGCCGGACGAAGAATTTTTACATGTTAAAGTGAATGTGTTACTTTACGATATGCAGATACGAGCTACGCCAGACACGGCGCGTACGCAGTTTTTCTATCTGTGTTAATAATGAATAAAAGTGTGAGGTTCTGCTATAATTAGAATCTAAACTACAGTCTTTTTCAATTAACAGTACAATAATAAACAAACAATGAAATGACGAATAAAAGGAAGAAAAAACCGTACGGAGGCTCAAAGCGTTACTGCTTAATTTTAAAAAAAAAAACAAAATTATCAGGAAAAAAGCGAGAACTAAGAGTTGCCTTGCGAATGTATGTAGAAAAAAGCTGCAACGCCAACGTGTAAGCCACCCTCCTTATGAAGCAACGATGACGATCAGCAAGTGATGGCAGTACGAGCTACTTTGTGCTACGTACAGATTTAACAATGGGCGTCTTTGTCGTTCTTTTGTGAAATCTACTTGTATTTGTTCTTAAAGTTAACTTCTCAAATTTACTTAAAAAACATTCTATTTAATTTATTGTTTATTTGATTTAACCGCTAGTTTATTGTCCTGCAATAGCCCTAATAAAATATTATCTAAATAAAACTACTATTAGATACTTAGGACAGCTAAAAAGCTCGTCTGTTCGCTGCGTGCACGTTTGTGTCCTCTATTCGAATGCGCCAGGAGTCGCTATACGGCTTACATTTATTTAGCTGTCATGCCACGTGCGCGTTCAACCTTAAAGCGACAACGCATCCAACAAGTTGACAAATCGCAATTATAATTCAGGCGTCTAGCAGTAGCCTAGAGACGGCCAGCGGAGTTTCAATTGTAGATACAATCCATGTAGGTAGATATTTCTTGATCAGACTTTTTAAAAAAGCCTGACCAACAAATATCTATCTACATGGAAAAAGCTCCCTTTATCAGCGACCCCGCGGAGAGAGATAACTTTACTTAAGGGCTTCGGACAACTTCTGGCACTCATATCTTATGGATTTCACATATTAAGATAGCGACATCTCAGCACTTAGTTCTTGCCATAGGCTTACTGCTTGTTAAACTCGAACGTTTAATAAAATTAAGGGAGTAAATAGTTATAAATACTTGTACACATTTCAGCCGATTGATGGGTTAACGGTGTATATAGCTTGATGTGTTGTACCAATCACTTTTGTGGTTCATGCAGGTACATATACAACCTGTAAAAATACCTTAAACTCGTTCTGTCGACGTCTGTCACAATCCCCACCCTGGCTTCTAGAAAGGCTTAGTTCAAGGTCGAGTTGACTATTGGACGAACATTGCGGTGGGCTTCAACGAACCGCGCCACATATTATCGGTGCATGGTGCTTGTTATCCTACTAATAAATTTAATAGAGAGAACCGAATTGCAGCGTTATTAGCGAAAGGAATTATCCTTCCCAGTTTATTGTACAAGGACCTATACAGACCCCATGCGAACAGTCATACGCATCTTGTGCTCGCGTACAGATACACGAATGATGCAATGGAACGTACGTTTGTACAAACTCAATCGCGTACCTCAACGTCGCTGTATATAATGATCAGCTATTATATCGGTTCTCTCTGTCAGCCTAATTGTTTTCATTGGCCTTGACGAAGGCTGACATTCGTTCATTCGTTACAGCCACATAGAGGCGGTCACCATATACCCAGCATTAATGTAATAACTCACCTGAGGGCCCACGGATAAAAAACTGATCGAGGTAACAAGTCAACAAATTTCCGGTCGCACTACAGCCACTCAAAACGGGCTTATATTTCAATCACAATACCAAACGTAATTTCACTACGGTCCACTAGAAATGAACGTACGAGCGTCGCTTCAACTTATACGGCATTATGGAGCCGTGTCGGCGAGAACCGTCCTGTCGACTTCAACAACACCTGTTAATTGCTATACAGAGGCAATCTCGAGGGCAATAATTGCTAATAGTTGACCAGCGCGAAATCAACATAACGCACAGGAGCACACGATGCTAAGGGTGAATCCAAGATGGCGTCCACCCATAGCCTTCACAGCAAACGAGTTTGCTGGACAACAGATCACTTGGGCTTCAGCTTGGGAGGCGCACCGCGTTCGTTTAGAGGCTCAAGCTCAAAGCGCACAAGTGTCGGACGGAGCGAAAGGGCGAATGTCAATGCAGCCTATTTACAGCTATTCTGCCTGCCCGCGGTTTCAACTACTCTGTCTGTATAGCATGTACCTACACAGATTAGGTTTGTATTGTAAAGGATAAAATTAAATGATAAATTGCATAAACAGTGTATTAGCAAATTCTTCTATCGTTGCGATATGTTCATATATAACTCTTGGGTGGTTCGGCAATATCTGCTACGCTGCTATATACGTTCCACTGGTTTCCGTTATCCAAAAATAAAGAACCTCGTCGATAGTTTCCTTGTTTCAATTAAATGTGTAAAGGTCAATGTAACGAAAGATCAATAACTTAATTTAGATCGGTAGTGTATTAAATGTGTAATAACTTGCTCGTTTACTAACCGCGCAGCTCTTTCAAGGCGTTCAGGTGTGGCGACACGTAGATTACTAATTACTAAGGACACTTACGATGAGTGAGCACTTGAGCTTTATATACGGTTAATAAGAACTTCAACACGCCGGGGTACAGATAAAATGCAATCAACTGCGTTACTATTTGAATATTTGAAAGGAAGTTACGATTTAGTTCGTGTTTTTTCAACTGCTGTTAGTCCGTTTTGGTTTGAGCAACTTTATAGTAAACAATTACTTGTTTAATATAACAGATTCTGCTCGCTTCGTTTCTTTTTTTTTATTGTGAAACGAAAAAAGACTCCGATGACATAACCAAAGTGATACATAGCTTTTTCTTCGATTATAAACATCGCTATTTGAATCGAGATTTGTCTAATAGAGCAAATAAAACTTAGCCGTTCAACTGCTGAAAGGTCTGATTAAGCTTTTAGCGGCCACTCTTCAAATATATTACTATTTTGAATGTGAAAAATCTAGCAATCATACAGGTAACAACGTCAGCTGCAGTAGCTAAACTCGCATAACGTCTGCTATCAACTTGGCAACTTCAGTTAACTTCAATCGTGGTACACGAAATAATTAATAAATTAATTACTCAACCTGAATCAATCGATCAACTAAACAGCCATTGAAATTAAACTTTTTTGTTAAGTAAAGTCATACATCAGTATTCAATAGCTAACACTCGGAACGCTTTTCACTGGATTCTAGTCGTGTTTTTAAATAGGTATTCATAATACCTTCGCCGAATAGTTTTTACGGATTCTAAAGAAAAGTGGACCGATATCCGGCAAGAGTTTACACTATAGCGTATTATAAGCGCAATGTATGAGTAAGAGAATCCTACTTAACTGCAATGATGCCTTTCTCTGTCCAGAGAGACGCACTTCCATAAGCCTTCTTGATGGCTCAATCTTAATGCCTCAAGAGCTAACTTGTACTATATAAGAAATCTAAATACATTCTCACGCCAGTATCACAGTAACGTGTTCGCCTCTCCCAAGCTTACGGTCATATGAAATAGTTCAGGTTCAAGGCATAGCGTGGATCCACGTTGTTGGGAGGAATTTATATGATGAACTTTTCGTATGTTCCAATTCAAGAGTGAAGTCTAAACACAGGAGTGACCTTACCCCCCTTTCGTCTACTCTAATTGTTCTCTACAAACCACCCGAGAGATTCAAAGCAGGGGCAACATATCGATGCGTAAACCGCAGTTACGTGTATCCCGGTTAAAAAGATGTACAGATTTCTACATTTTAATGGTGATCGTATTGCTTTCTTAGTCAACCCAAACAGATCTTTTTCGTCCAGTTTTCGACTTCAAATAATAAAACAATCTTTTAAGGCTCTGTCTTCATGAATATATCATAACCATAAGAGCAAGATATCAGACTTGTCATTTGTTTACAAGAAAAAGATTGACTCCTAACACCGCATCCACTATAAATTCAGATTGGTCGAGGAGGCCATGTTGGCATCGAAATTGGCTCCTGTATATTTTACAGTGAAGTAGGGAGAGAGAAATATTGACCTGTAAGTTCTCAGTAGCTAACGCTACGTTCTTTTGCTTCTGATTTGGTAATTGTGGCTGAATCTTCTGTGGGGCATTTCGAATTAGTGGTGTTCTTATTGCTAATGCTTTAGGTGCATTGCCAGTTTAGTCATACCGGTAAGCATTAAGTAGCTTCGACGAATCGGCTTTGTTTCTGTACTGTATGTGTGTTTTGAAACAACAATTGCAAAAGGTGTCAACTACAAACAAGCACAAATACACAGCTGCATGCGAGTGCTTAACTGGTTAGGAACCAGTGTCGTTAGGCAACTACTTTTCGTTTTTTTTTGGATCGAATTGGACGGCGGGTGCTTCGAGTGTATGCGAACCGTTTCACGTGTCTATACCACAGCTCAAGTCATCGCGTTTCGTAATTTGTCGCTTAACTTCCTGCTGTTGTTATATGGCAGCAACGTAACTTAGCAGTGACGAAATAAAGAAAAAAACAAAAGATACACTACTGTTCTCAAATGGAGCTGAGTGGTTTATAAATTGTTGACGGAAGAGAACAAAACTTAATGTATTTGGAAAGCCGGCGTCTGCACTTTAGTGATAGCAGACGAATTATAAGGTCTTACCTCAAGCAGACGATGGAGACGGATTAGCTCTGTTTACTTCGGTTTAGGTTCTGTTTAGGTTGCGCAAACAGGATTCTAAGCATCGTTGTTGCCCTGTTAAAATAAAAGAGAAATCAACCGAGGCTATATGGACGCCAGTGAATGTGCTGCCCGTCATGATGCCATCCCAAACGGCCGGAGACAAAATCACGATTATTCACTAATGATGTAGTGACTTACGTCACCTTTAGTTATTGTGACGGTACACTTTCGGGGCTAAATTAGTAGGCAATACAGTTGGTGGTTTTTGTAATAAATGACAAGATAAATTTTAAGTGGAATCTCTACTTGTTTTTTTTTAAATTAGTAATAGATTTGCCTAAGCCTTTTTAAACTAGAGACATCGTTTATTGCTTGACTGTATCCAGCGGACTGAAATTAGTTACGGCATACGTAAAGTATATATATAGCATGAGCTTATTGCCTTCTAACGTAGATAACATATAATGTTCGTTCTCTTTGTTCACATCAATTTCCCTACCATAAGGAGTATTTCGACAAAAGTTTTGACGACGATGGGCACGGGTGCCACTGACGCCAAACCACCCATTTGCCCACCTATCCTGTGATGTGGTCTCTCCCGTTTTTTCTATGAAGCTTACTAACTCACCCCACTCTAGCGGGCCATAGCTTAATGCAAAAGGGAGCTCCGGGAAACCACTGTACAGGACAAAATGGGGTCCCATGCGAGTTGGATGGGGAATTTATAAGCGACGCTGTGTGACCCAAACTCTGGCGGTAGCCACTTTTCAAGCAAGAATCGGTTGAGATTGGGTTTGTTTCGTTTCGTCGGATGTTGTCATTGAAATAGCAAGCGGCAATCGGTCCTCTGCCTGCCTCCCGCAAATTCTGCAACCGACCTTTGGGTGCGGGTATCTGCTGGAAAGGATACGATGTCTGTCGTAGTTGCGACCGTTCCAGTGCAGTAGGGTGAGTTGCAGTGTTGGCGGAGGTAGCTTTAGCTTCAGATAGGAAAGCCTCCGTGCGTTGATGTGTGATGGTAAAGCGAATGGAGCACTGATGAAGAACGTGCCCCTTTCAACAACGACTGAGCAAGGAAATTATGAACATGGGGGGAAAATAGCATAGAAAATGAGGCGAGGTCAAGTGTTATAAATGAATCAAAATCATATGGAGTTTTACGTAGTAGACTGGTGTGGCTTTTGTAATACCCGATCATCGGACAGCAATAACATTTCCATGCTCTAGTTTCTTCGCTGGCATTTTTGCGCCCGCATCGAGTAACGCTTGCATGTAAAGTATTTGAAGATAATTAGAAAAACGCATTGAGATCTCCCTGTTTTCAGGGGTATCGCGGCAATATTACGTTCTTGTGTGACGCTACAATGTGTAGCTGTCCATCATCTTAGCATTCACTCATAGTATAATAACCGCCGGTTGGTGGAAAATGGTCCCATTGCCGAACATCCATCAATAAACATGATTGCTGAAAACTCTTTTTTGTTAATAGTACGACTTATTCATGCCTCTATAACAAACTTCATGTGTATCCACAAATAAACATAGCCAACGAAAGAATTTACACACACAAAAACACAAACGCTTTTCAAATGGTGCCTCGAGCAGCTTGTCCCATATTCTGTAACCATTAGAATATGCTAGGCTAATCCTTCGTTATACGTCACATCGCATGGACACACCCTACGAGAAGGAGCGCCCTTCCATAGATGCGTCTACTACATACTAGAAAATATATATACAATAGAGAATAAGGGAAGCGCATTATAAAGTATATCCGGTATAATGCCTCATGCGTGAGCTCTCCTTGTATAAAATTCCTGACAACTAAGTGCTCTACATACACGGATAAAAACAGAGTTTTGACATCGTCCGACCGAGAGCGCCAGCGCGCTATGATGCTGGGCGAAAAGAAAACGATTGTACTGATTGTGCTACGGAGGTTTTTTGCTTTGTAAAAAAAATATATATACATATAGAGAAAGAGAGAGAGCGGGACCGGAGGCGGTTTGACCAAGTCGAGATGGGCACTGGGGGACCAGGGGGAAACCTTCGAAATCCTAAAGCGAAGAGAGGAAGCGAAATGTGATGTAATTCAGCAACGACAGCAGTCGAGGAAGTTGCAAAAGCAGCAGCGGTGTTAAGAGAAATATGGTAGAACGATGAAAATGCGGAGGCACAGAATGGCGCAGGATAACAGCAACGAGATCGGTCAGATCATCGTGCAGTGGTTGGCAGCGACAGTCCACGAGCATATGGCGGCTCTGCTAGATGCTTCGCCGGTTCGAGAAACTGGGAGGTTGCAAATGACACAATTCTTTGAAGAACCTGCTCTGCCTCGTTCCGTGTGCCGCTTTA